GTACCTTTCCTTATGAAAGCTCCTTGGAGATTATATTTCAACCCAAAAAAAGGGAGTAAATTGAAAAACAGGATGACTTGTGACTCAGAAAGCAGTGAATGCTAAAGGAGCATGGTGAAGGCTTAACCCAAGTCAAAGATCAACCAGGTCCAACATAAGGCACCAAGAAGGATATATCCAGGAAAAACATTTATTAAAGGAACTTAAAATTTATCTGATGTGTTTGGTTATTTGAAAAAATATTATTGATGGGTGTTTGCCAGATATGTTTGAATACTTGGGGGAATAAAATCGGTTACCTAGAAAAATAAACTATTAAAATCTTGGCAATTAATTTCAGAAATAATAAGATAATGTATAAGAAAATTAATTTAAAGGAGGTAATGCTTGTCTCAGTAGTGAACACATTTTTCATTATAATGTAAATGAACTACTGATTAGTGATTTAACCAAAATTGTTATATGGGAGCACGAGATGGATATGTAGGGTAGGAAATATAAGAGACCTAAATTGGGCCGGGCTCGGTTGCTCAGCCTGTAATTCCAGCACTTTGGGAGGCCAAGGCGAGTGAATTGCCTGAGCCTGCAGGTTCAAGACCACCCCTGTCAACTTGGCAAGACCTCATCTCTACAATAAATAAAAAAATTAGCCAGGTGTGGTAGCGTGTGCCTGTCATTCCAGCTACTTGGAAGCCTGAGGTGGAAGGATTGCCGGAGGCCCAGCAGGTCAATGCTGGGGTGACCGTGAGTGTGCCACAGCACTCCAGCCTGGGCGACAGAGTGAGACTCCGACTCATAAAAAAAAATTGACCTAAATTGTTACCTTTCTTAACATAGAAAGTCTACAGATAATGCCTAATATTGAAAAATTCAAGAAATAGCAATATAAGTTTGCCCTTTAAACATATGAAGATAAACATCAGAAGAGTTGATAGTGTATGCCACTGAAGATTCAGTTTGAAAACAAGTGAGGGGTAAAGCATGAGCACTGTTCTTCCTTCTTATGAGCCATTTAGTATTATTTGACTTAAATTAGTTGTATTACTTTAACAAGAAAATTTAATCAGTAATAAAAATAAAGTTGCATATGTCCATGATAAAGAAAACCTTCCTGCAGTGTACAGGAATATAAGTGAACAGTGGTAAGTCTCCCTTTCTTCTTATCCTATCCATAGTACCATTCTCTTGAGGTAACCTCTTTTAACCGTTTCTACTTTTAGTTGTCCTGGCAGTTATAGTCATGACTTGAAGTATCTTTTGATAAGGTGTAAAGCTATCTGGACCTGCCTTTGCCCAGTTAGCCAAAAGATGACCGCATCAAACTGCATTGTGGATATGCAGGTTAATAGTGTACTTTGTGAGTAATGTGCAATTAGCCTATGACTGGTGTTGGTCTTTCATTCCTGAGCCACTGTATACAGCCAAGGAAGCAGCCCTGACCTAGTTGGGTGAGGCAGAGGGTTATCCTGCCAGTGTGAGCATGGCATTTCTGGCAGGAGATTTCTCTTTTAACTGTTGTACTTGGTGCCATGGCAGATTTTCCTGACTCAGGGAGTAAGTGTTGAGCCCTGGTCCAGCTGGTTAGATTATTTGTTGATTTTGATTATCTGCACCAATAAACTCTTTTGCTGGCACATATAATCAGAAGCAGGCAGTAATTTTCCATCTTCCTAGCAAAAATGCCTCTTACATTTTGAAATTACAATAGAAAAAATTTTATTAAGTTTTCACAAAAATACCACTTGATTGAGAAGGGAGAAATTTTATTGAATTAAATCAAGAACTTCTTTAAGGGTAGTCATATATTCTTAGGCAGGTGACTTTTTCTACTTATCGTTTTGTTATCCTTAAAAGATAGAGGAGCTGGGCTCAGTGGCTCACACCTATAATCCCAGCATTTTGGGAGGCCGAGGTGAGAGGATTTCTTGAGCCCATGAGGTTGAGAGCAGGCTGGGCAACATAGGCAAGACCTTGAATCTACAAAAAAAGAAAAAAATTAGCTGAGCATGGTGGTACCTGTAGTCCCACCTACTGGGGAGGCTGAGGTGGGAGGATTGCCTTTTCCCAGGAGGTCGAGGTTGCAGTGAGCTGTGATTACACCACTGCACACCAGGCTGGGTGATAAAGTGAGACCCTGACTTAAGAAAAAAAAAAAAAAGGGAAAAAAATCGGTAATCCTAATGATATTACCTGTCTTTTATTGAGCCCTTACTATGTGCTAGGCATTCTGCTAAGTATTCATCATCTAACTCAATCTTCACAATAGCCTTAGGAGTTAACTACAGTTATCATTTCCATTTGGGACTGAAGAAACCGTATAACAGTCCAGTGACTTATCTAAGGTCATAGAAAAGTACCAGAGCTGTGTGGAGCCCTGATTTGTGTTGACTCTTGGACCCATGCTCTTTTTGTTTTTTTGTTTTTTGTTTTTGAATCAGAGCCTCACTCTGTCACCCAGACTGGATTGCAGTGGCACGCTCACGGCTACCCCAGCGTCCACCTGCTGGGCTCAGGCCATCTTTCCGCCTCAGCCTTCCAAGTAACCAGAACTATAGGTGTGCGCTACCACACCTGGCTAATTTTTTGATATATTGTAGAGACAAGGTCTCACCAAGTTGCTCAGTCTGGTCTTGAACCCCTGGGCTCAGGCAGTCCTCTTGCCTCAGCCTCCCAAAGTGCTGGGATTATAGAACCCAGTCTCTTTACCTCTATGTTTGGACTGGCTTTCAATTCAACCTCTGACATCTTAATACATGAGAATAAGAAAACTGCTGATTTAAACTTGAAACTCAACTACCAGTGTAAAGCACATACATTACTATTGTTGCATAATGTTTGTAAAAATGTTTCTTTTCTTTCATGATAATTTGGAATTTTATACATTTTCGGTTTCTGGCATTCTTTTGTATTCTTTCAATTCAAAATTCTGGAATCATCTTTGGTCTTCTGATTCCTCTCCATTTATTTCTGTAAAATCACCATGTTCTCTTTATCCTTCTGTTTTAAGTCTCTCCACTCCTCATGTCTGGAATGCTGCAATTATCTTTTCATGATTTCCCTTCTGCCGTTCTTTGCCACCTTAAGTTGATTGCACACATTGATCCAGTTTTTTATAGCTCAGTTTCTCTTATATTGCATACCTATTTAAGCCACTAATGTCTGCCTATTGTGTATAAGAAAAATACAGCTTTGTTAATCTACAATTAGTTTCACATTGTGATCTAACCTATGAGTTTTTGTGCCCTTACTTCTTTCTCACTTTTCTTGCCCATATTAACATATTCCTCATCTGGCTACTGAGGCATGAATTTCCTTTACAGCTCAGTTGGTGTTTTTTATATGCTTGTATTTTGATAGTCTTTTTGTGTGTGTATCTCTTATTTACCAGATGAATTGTTAACTCCTGAGTGTAGAGATGAGAATTCTCTGAGTCTCTCATATTATTTGGTACAGTTTCTTGCATATAGCACTGTGTAAAAAAAATCAATGAATGCATTTTTGAAGTTTTAGATTCAACATATAATTCCAATTCTGTGCATCTTTACTTTTGTTACTTTTATAAATGTTGGCCAAGAAAAATTTAACAAACTTTTCTCTTATGTTTTTAACTCTTTAATCGTGTTTAAGTATGAGATTCGAAATATATCGGTATAAATTTAATTACTTAAAAAATTTAAAGGAATAAGTCAGTTTCATTTAGTATTTTAACTCTGAAAGACATAGAAAATCTACTCGGAATGATGGTAATAAATTCATTACTATATAGATTTTAAAAAATAAAAATATTTGAGAATGTGTGATAAGTTATTTTATTAATTGTTAGTAATGTATGGTTTTGTTGAGGATAAATTAAATATTTGTTCTGTTACGAATGCAAGAAAAATGTAAGTGAATTGTTTAATTTATCTTGCATGATGTGTTAAATATAGCTGGAGATTGTTCAGAATATTGAGTAATGACATGAGGAAATCTGAAATGTATTTAGGTACTAAGTTTAATGCACTCTAGTTAGACATAATTTTTTATAAAAGGAGATGGCATTTTTGTGTATCAAAATTGCTTCTTGCTTTCTGCTGATTTGAAAATGTTTCTGCCTTTTCTTTTTTTTTCTTGTTTAATAGTATAAATATCTTTTAAATGTTTATCTCTTATTTTCTTTTGCATAATTTTATAGATGTTCCATGATAAATCTTTCTATTTGGTATAGAAATTATTTAGAAATATGTTTTATATAAGGTATTTTTGCTTTGAAATATTTGAGTTTCAGTAAGATAAGGAAAAACTCATCCTGAATCAAAAGAATAAACTATTATGAATTTTATATACTTTAGATATTCATATTTATTAGTCTTAGGGTGCTTTTATTGCTTTTTTAAAATTTCAAATATAAATGGAATATTATTTTAGCTCAGAAATCTCATATACTCTTAATGCTTAAACGTTCTCATGCTGCATTTATTCCTGAATTATTTTTTTCCAAATAATATCGAACATTATAATGGTGGCATTTTTTTACATGCCACATTTTTCTAAAAGATCTCTTAAATTATTTTAATCTTTAATTTGGTTTTCAAAATATCCAAATGAAACCATAAATCTATCTTTCAGAATAAAAAGTCACATATTTGATGTAAATCACTGCATATGTCTGATTAAATCTCAAATAAAAATGTTACATTTTAAAGGTAGTGACATTTTAAAGTAAATATTACTTTTTAAAGGAAATGAGTCTTAGAATGGAAATGCAGTTATCCATTTTGACCACTCTCATGTAATCGTTTCATTTTTAAAAATTAGACTTCATTTTACAATTCAAAGAAACCGCACTAATATGCATTTTTGGATGTGCTAGTCCCTTTGTCATGAAATGGAAGCTAGCCTAAATTTTCTAATAATTTTTCATCACATTGAAATTCATGGCAAAAATAAAGATGAGCTAATTTTGAATTCAAGTGCATATATTTTATATGGATGCTTTTCCCCCCTTCTCTCTACCTAAGGAAATAGAGAAATTGAGAATAGAACTGAGTGAAAGCAAGCAGCACTTGGAACAGGAGCAGCAGAAGGCAGCCCGGGCCAGAGAGGAGTGCCTGAAACTAACAGAACTGCTGGGTGAATCCGAGCACCAACTGCACCTCACCAGGTACTCCCTAATCCCATTATGCGCCATAGCACCGATTTCATTCCACTGATTTTTGCCACAGGCTTCCAAACAGTTGTTAGAGTTAGTCTTAGTCATTCAATCCGCACACAGCTTTCAGGCATATTAAGAAAAGTGGAGATGTGGTAAGCAAAACACCCAGACATGTGAATGATAAGTGTGGCAGGGAATTACTGATATATTACAAAACCTTTCATCTACAATGCTCAAATATTTAGGTGATTCTCTATCAATATAAGCAAAATGACATATTTCTCCTACCACCACTACCTCTCCTGTTAATTCTGTGTCTAATAAAGATGTTGAACCGAAGAAACTGAGGAATTTATTTAGAAAAACAATAATGCTGGTGAAAGAGACAAAGTAAAGAAATAGAAGGATGCAAATTGAAATGGAACTGATACAAAATAAGGAATCTGTCTCCTAAGAAGGTGTAAAATTTAGAGATGAAATTGGTTGGCAGTGTTCATATTCAGATTATTATAATAACCAGGCTTACAGCATTGAAGCTTCAAATTATTTTGTTTCCATCATGAGATATTGTGATGTGATCATCATTGTCATAAACTTTAGTAAACATATAGCTCGCTCCTAAATTATAATAATACTCTTTAGGTTGTAAAGCATTGTGAATTTACTGTATTGAAAAATATACTCACAAACATAAATACACACACAGAGAAAAATTCAAATAGAAATAGTAGTTATTTCACTTTATCATATAAGTGGTTTCTTCTAACTTTAAGTTTTAGTACAATTTTTCAATTTTTAGATCAAGTCTTGGTTTTGTTCAGTTGTGAGAGAGAGCTTTGTCTAAATAAACACGTTAGTTTATGATATTCAGTTTGCTTTATAAATTAGAAAAACTTTAGTCTTCCAATCATAATAATATGTTGAATTAAAACTACGAAAGGGGACTGATCCCTTTTACATTAAATATGACAATGTAATTCTGAGCACGGTATGATAACAGATGGAGAAAAGCACCACTTGAACAGCCTGCATTTGTAGAAAAAAATATTCTAGAGGTTGGTGAACCTCTCAAAGTTTTGGGTTAGTGTTAAGATGCCTCTGGTTCTGTTAAAATTAAACTTTGTTAAAAACATTTTGTTATGATAATATTCCAAATGATTTGAACACCTTCCCTTTTAAATAAAAGAAAAACAGGAAAGTAAGGAGGAGAGAGAGATAAAGGAAAGAAAGAAAAGAAATCATTTATATGTGTATGTTATCTGGGGAAAAATCCCAATAGATGAAACACTTTTATAAGAAAAAATTACTTAATACTTCAGAATAATAGCTGTTCTTTTAATGCCCAAAGTATTGCCATTGTAGAGCTGAGAATGTAATGTTAACATAGTTAACATGTGGTTATTGAGTCTTAAGAGTTTCAGAATTTAGCTTCATCATGGTAACGTTAATAGTTTTTCTTTTCTGTCAGACTTCTATTCAGAACCAACCATTTGTGTGCTAAGCACTACTAAACCACTGAAATAGGACAGTTTTTAATGTCTCAGTGTGACTGAGCTTCAGTAAATAAATATTAATGCTGGTTTTGCCCCTTTTGCCATTTTGTCTTATTCAGAGAGTTAATTTCTGAAGTCAAAGTCCGTAGAGAGTTTTCCTGCGCGGTATCAATTTGTACTGTTTGACAAGATCAATTTCTTGCAAGTAGAGCATATTAAGATGCAGCAACTGCTGAGAATGGACGAGTGGTAACTAATTCCTTTGTTCTTAAGGAAAACGGTTTTGCTTAGTTGCATAGAAGGCTTTTTTTGTTGAGCTTTATTTACACCAATTCTACAAAAATTTGAACCTGGTTTTACAGAAAATAAAACTTAATTACCTATTTTCTAACTGCATACTCTTTTGTAAGCCTTTTGTGATTAGTCTATGTTCATGTTTATAAAATCCACATTCATAGGTTTAAAGATAACTATTAGAAATGCAAGGAACTCTGTCTATCTCTTTTGCACTAAAAATGTGACTTGGTTTTGGGTTATTTCTGATCTATAGTACTTTTTTTTTTTAAGAGTTGGCCACCCCTTACCATTCTTTATTGATTCAGTACACACAGGTGTGTGACTGAGAAATGCTGTGCCTTTCTTTTTCAGTGTAGACCAGCTGAAATACATAACTCCCACACAGATAACACCTCACCAAACAGTCTCAACTTAAACATTTCAAATGGCATATTCTAAACAAAGTTTAAAATTGAATATGGAAACCATGTTATAAAGTAATGATGAAATAAGGATTCAGATCTTTAGGGGCAAAATTATTTTTAAATTGGAGTAGATATCTGTAGATCAGTCTGAAAGAAAAACAATCTAGCACATTTTGGGTGTTCTCCTTATTGGATTTAAATTGAAATTAAAAATGGAAAATAGAAATTCAGCATTTATTAAAGAACCCAACTACTGAGTATAACATTCACTTAGTCAACAAATATTTATTGAACACTAATATCTTTTAAGTACTTTGCTTGGCCCTAGACATAGAAAGAAAAAATGAAACTCAGTTTCTACCATTAGGTTGCTCACACTCTACTAAAGAATCCAGATCTGTATTTGGAATTATAATAAAGCATGACAGTGGTGCCATGATAGAAGTAAAGTTTGCCACAGGAGCACTTAGGAAGGAGAATTTGCTTATTCTGCACTGGAGGTGAAGGTGATAGGGAAAGCTGAGAGTGAAAAGGGGTAGTGAAAAGATGATGAAGAGATGCTTGGCAGCAAACTTGATTGAGTTAATGAGTAGAAGTTCTCAAAGTAGAAAAAGGTGGGTTAGGTACACCAGGTGGAGCAACCAATATATGCAAAGACATAAAGAGGAGACAAAACATGAACTGTACAATCAGCTGAGGTATTTGGTCAGAGATCAGACTTGGAAAAGGGAGTGGGATCAGAGAAAGAGTCTTGGGCCATACTCTGGAGTTTTGGCCATTCTGAAGGTAATGGGTTATTCTTGATGCATTTTAAGCAGGGCTGTCAACATGATTGATTTTTTGGGTTGAGATCCTGACTCAGATAGCAGTGTGGAGAGTGAATTTCGAGAGTTGGTATAGGGCAGAGTCAGTAACCACAGCCCAAGGTCCAAATCTGGCCCATCATCTGTTTTTGTATGACCCATGAGCTAAGAATAATTTTTATATTTTTCAGTGGTTGAAAAAAAGGGAAAACGATATTTTGTGACACATAAATATTATGTTTATAAATAAAGTTTTATTGGACACAGCCACAATTATCCTTTATGTAGTACCTACCACACTAGAGTTGAATATGGTTCTTAGAGCCTAAAATCCATACTACTTGGCTCTTCACAGAAAAAGCTTCCCAACCCCTCAGTTAGGAGGCTGTTTAGTTCAAGGAAGAAATCAAGAGAGCTTGAACTATGACAGATTCAAATGTGTATTTAAAGAAGGTAGTTGAAAGGCATTGTAAAAAAAATGGATGGGTTGAAGAAGAGATGATTGATAGGGACCCCAATTCGAATATAAGCGCCATAGTCCAGGAGGAGAGAGTAGAGGAGGATAGTCCTGGGCTATCCCAGTCTTGGCTGACCCAGTAAAATGAAAAGGAAGTAGCATCTTCAAGAGGCATTTGAATAAAAGAGTACAGAATTAAGGGTGACTCTAAGGTTTCTAGTCCAAGTTGACTAATTATCTGTGAAGCCAACGGGAACTTAAAAGAGGTGGCAGAGGAAAATAATACATTTTATTTTGGAAGTCCAGCAGAGATGTCTAGTGTAGGTTTGGTGTGAGGAGAATGGTCATGACTAGGGACTTTGATCTGGATGCTTTACATAAAGGCATTAGTTGTAGCCAAGGCAGTGGGTAAAAGCACATAGGGAGGACCATTTTTTTTTTTAATTATTAAATTTTATTTTATTATAGAGATGTGGGGTACAAGTAAGGATTAACTACACAAATAGACTGCATACAGGTGAAGTGTGGGCCTCCAACTGGCCCTCAGAGAGGGCCATATTTTTAAAAAACTATAGAAGAAGAGCCACCAGTTGAGGAGACTGAAATGGGGCCTTCGGGGATGTAAGAATAAAGAATGATTCAGAGGGCTTTGGTGAAGTAACAATACCATATGCTTTTCTTAGTGGTGCTCCCAAGGCATTTTAGGATTGAGGAAACCTGAGTAATAGTACCTGCTTCATGCATTCACTATCTTTGCAACTTTCAACAAATTACTTAACTCTTTGAGCCTGCTTGACTACCTGTAAAATTATAAGTTTCCTTCTAGCTCTGATAGTGAGTGATTCTAACAATGATTTAAGACAACGTATTAAGTTCCTATTTCTAGCTGTTAGGCATTTACATTGCTTGGATGGTCTTTTGTTCAAGATGTTTCCTTAGTTTGAACTGCAGAGATTTTGTTGAAATAACCCTCAGACCCACGAGGTAAGTTTATCATAACTTAGGCCCTGCTGATCTAACACAATTGTGAAATTATCTATTAACACACTTCCAATATTTTTTCTAACCATTGCCCAGTATTCATAAGCCACTGCCTTGACTTTGTCACCCTGCTCTCAAATCTTCCATGGTGCACAGTGACTATTAGAGAAGGTCCAAATCACTCAGCATGGCATTTAAGGTCATCCCGATAGGCTTTATTTAACCTTCCTGTCTTATTTCATCCCTACATGTCCTCTCGCATGTGAATTTACAGCCAAATGTAGGCACACAAGACTCCCCTGCAGAATTGTCTCTCCTTTTGCTGTTCTCCTTACCTAGTATAACCCCCTTTGACCTTCCCTAGCCTTAATAATCTTACCTTCTTGTCAAGGTCTCCCTGAAATCCTGATATTTTCAACTGTAGCCCTCACTAATGATTCCTTCAGAAGGGAGCATTTCTTCCTCTGAATCCTTCCCACTTTGAGCTGATGGCATTTCAGTAAATGAATTACTCAAAGGAAGAACAAGCAAAATCTGAGAAAAATGAATTAAATGCTGTTTTCCTCTTCTGGAA